CAAATTGACCTAATCGTATTTGAAGATATGAATTATTCCTCTGAATAAAAACCCTGCTGACCATTAGAGGATGTCGGGAAAGCAGCCAGTGTGCATGACATGTTACTACCTCTTTATGAGGTGTGGGAATCACCAGAGGCGCCACGATACAATATTATCGCCATACTTGAGTCGCGATACGATATTACTGCGATTTTAAACATTTTGCGATATGCTGAGAATCACGATACAATATATTACGATTTAACTGCATATTATGTCCACTACACTAAACTACATCAAGAACTGTTTTGTCAGATAAGAAAACATTCTCAGTCTGTTCATCTCACTTCAGTTTTTTTATTTCTACAGAGTGAGAGTCGAGCCCACAGACTGACCAACACTGTGATCAAAGTGAATCCTTTTAAAGGCTGCATGCACCTCACAATCTGAACTGTTGGTGTTTTACTTTAATCCAACTTAAACATGATTTTTTTTTCTCTAAAATATCGATTATTGGCTTCTATGAGACGATATAATAACGCAACACAAAATATTGCGATACTATGCTGTATCGATTTCACCTCTACTCTATATCATATCACTGTTGCATAATAAAACAGGTAGAGATACACCCTTGATATGACACCTTTTTACACACAGCAGCGACCTCTCCTAACCTTTTTTTTTCCTGACTCATACTTTTAAAGTTATCAGTCTCACAGATCAGGGCGAGGAATGTGAGATTTATTTGATTAGCAAAGGTGGGACTGTCTTGGGGCTCGCCTGCGCCGACTGTTTGAACTTTGAGACAGTGTCAGATACCCTTTGGCACATTTTCTCTATGCACTCCTCTCTTTTGGTGAGGACGCTGTTATGCAGAGAAACCAGATTTCCAGAGAAGACTCCTTGTTAAAAATTGGCTCCGGGTGACTCGGTCCTATTAGGGAAACATGTTAAAAACTATCGAGACAAAAAGTGGAAGTCATGAGCTTCTTCCACTTCAGTCTCTTTGTAATGGGCCTCTCAGGGACCTTTTGAGGACCACAATCTATTTCACATTGAGGACTAGATTTTGGTGTCTTAAAAACTTCCAACCTGTGCCGTGAGCAGACATATTGAAGCATTTAGGGGATCTGTGCCTTGCTGAAAGGCAACTCAATTGTAGCATTTAGAGAGAGCAGACAACCCTCTTGTTTATCTTTCTGCTGAGTATGAGTCATGCATTACTAATAATAATAATAATCTATCAGTGAGAGCCATCAGACAGAGACAAAGTCAATCTGGAGATATAATGAGGATCCTGACAAGCTAGAACTCGCTACTTAGATTGTGTGATCGAGTCAGAAGCTCAGAACAGCTTCAGAATAAACCGTGTGATGAGTTTGTTTTACAAACTTCAACAAAGTCTTTAATGGGCTTGAAAAAAAAAAAAAGGTTAAATTTAAACATCTACCATGACATGATATCTCCTTCTGTATGAAGATCATGTGACAAGATGGATGCTCCAGAAGATAAACTGACCTTTTGGTAATACTACTTTCTCATGTCTTTGTTTTTTTTTTTTTTGAAATGCATTTTGTCATTCACAGTAGCACAGGTTAGATTAATAACATGAATCTGTAGTTTGTAACTATTGCCATTAAATACATGCTGCTTCTAAGTACAAAGCACAGTTCTGAATCTGTTCACTTTTCTATTTATATATACTGTATATTTATTTCATCAAACTAATCTATCAAGCACAAATGGCACATTTAAGTGGTTCTGACTCTATTTCAGGGTTCTTCTGTTTGTTTTTAATCCATATAACCTTATTATCCAAAGACATTGACTGTGTGTATTTAACAAAACAAAACATGCAACTGCAACATCTTTGTTGATTTAACATTTTCCTGAAATTTTAAAGAATAATCTTCAAGACATGAACTGATAATTAAAGTACTTATTGCTGCATTCCTGTAGAAACCAAAGGGTAATATTAATTTAAAAACATCATAGTTATTAAAGTAGTGTTTATTGAGTAGCCTACATGTACTCTATTCCTTATAAGACCAGTAAATAGTGTTAGCATTAAGGGTTAACTGCATTATCTCTGGATTGCAGCCTGTTTCGTTTCCTCACTATTCGGGACAACTTTCTTTCTCTTTAAATGTTTGTGTAAAGTTTATTGTATCCAAAGTTGTCGCTACCTCTGCTGCTCCTTCCCCAGCTTTGATACCCATGGCAGCCAGGCCCGTCTTCAGCTCGGACACATCCACTTTCCCATCCTTGTTGGTGTCCAGTCTGGCGAACAGCTCCTCGTACACTTTCGACGCATCGTCAGCACACTGGCAGTCCGTCAAAAACAGCTTCCTCACGGCTTGGTACATGGTTGAACTTCAAATGAAAAAGTCTTGGGCCTGTAGCTCCAGACAGACAGCAGACTGTGCAGTGAGGCTGCAGTGGAAACACGCTCACACTCTCACACACACACACACACACACACACACACACAAATTGAGTCCTGCGGCTGGCACTTCTGGTCTGAAGCAAGGCGCAGGGAAGCCCCGTGTAACTTCAAAGAGATTTTCCGAAGATAATGAGTCGCGGAAAAGTCCTCCTAAGTCGGTGCAGAGTCCGATAGGCCTCTATAAGAGCTCTAATGCTGAATTACAGAAGTATGTGTGTGCGGATGAGGTAGGTTGGCAGCGGCGGGCAGAAGGGTGGGGAGAGTCGGTTTTCCTCAGAAGACCTCCTCTTTCACTGCGCACACAAACATTACAGAGACACACCCTTCAGCAGGAACTACACTCTAAGTATGTTATTTCACCGCGTGTCTCACATGAGATACATGACATTTTCATTTGCTGCTGAATCTTATGCATCCCCAAAAACATCTTACTTCCTGCTTTTGAAGTTGTTTCATGTTGTGGTTTTGTTGGATAACGCCACGCACGCACACGCGTAAAAATATGCATATACAGTGAAGGCCTGTGGTCCTTGCCCCCATAGCAGGCTACACAGTATTAAGTCCATGTAGGCAATCTGATTCAGTTCAATGACTCATATCCTCAGGAATCTGACAGCTGCTCCAGGCAAAAAAAAAAAAAATCCCTCAATTTTTTTTAAATGATTCTTTGATGTGGGAAGAGGCAGAGAAAGTGATGACAGAGGGAGGGGGGGGGGTCGCTGCATGTGAAACAGACAGTTTACAGTGACACAGACTTTGCAGTTCAATTAAATAGCAAACCTGCTTTGCATTTCTGAACACCTTAAGTATTGCTCCATCTTTAAACTTTTCCCAAACTAAAGTCGTGCACCAAAAGCTCCCAAAGAGACTCGAAATTATCCAGAAATATGTTTTTAGGGTCCATGTGAGGTTTTTAAAAACCTATTGCTATTTATGTCATATGGTTGTGCAGGTCTATTCGCATTATGAATACTTTACTTAGTCTGAGAATAATGTGGGTAAAATGTTTTCTAAAGTTGTAACCAACAGAATAAAAAAAAGGGTGATTTGCAAGTTTTCTTTTTTTTTAAGTCTTGAAAAAGTGCAAGTCAACTGGAGCTTCGCGGCAGTGTCAAGTTTGTACCACGAGGGGGCGATAAATGCTACATAACAGCAGCTGGTTTCACTTTGTTATTGTAATCTGTCAAATCAGTGATGCTGTTGTTCTGCCTGACCGCCAGGAGGCGACAGAGAGGGGAGGCGGGCTTTCTTGGACTCACGTGAAGCTGATAGTTGCCATCAATGTACATCCGTTCAATATATATATACATATATATAAATATATAAAGTACTTCAAAATAAAAGCAGAGCCATAAATACGTTTTAGTAGAAATTAGCTGAAAATAATTATATCTCAGCACGGATGGTGTCTGATTGGTAGGAAAAACTCAACATTTACTTAAATACAAATGGCAGTACCACAGTGGGAATAGACTGTGTTATAAGTAAAAGTTGTGCTTTCCAAATGGTACCGAAGTGTGCGACAGTAGAAGCATCACAATATTAAATCCATACCGAAATTAACAAGACTTAATATGCATGCCGGACCATTTCAGTGTCATAGAAAACATTGTGCATGTACCGATTTTATTCAGTTGTTGCTTAACTTGTAATACATAATGTCATAATGTATTAGTCCTATGAAACTTTTATAAATATTTACAATCATACATTCACCAACTATTATATTTCAAATACATTTTCTATTGAGAAGTCTTGATGAAGAAAAGCTACACTGTCACAAAGCCATAAATGTAAATCATTATAAATCAAAAAAGTAAAATAAGAGCAGATGTTTATTTTCCAGCCTTGTGCAGCTATCAACATTTATATTTATTTAGATCCATGAGCAACTATCACATTTTACTCAAGCACATTAAAATGCAATTTAGTAGTCCTTAAATGGTGAAAAATGTTAAACTGGAAATTCCTCTCTAATTTTCTAATTAATCCCTTCCAACCATAGACCGTAAATATTATCTTCCAACACGCAGCCATGGCCTATTAATGGCTTTTAAATTGCCATGCACCTTAACTGCCTCTGCTTTATTCTATCCATTTTATTCAGTATTCATACAGTTCTGGTTACTTTATTCCTGTTGTTTCTTATCCATCATTGCACTACGGTCACTTTATTCATCTCATTTTAACCTTTACAGTTATATTGTATATATTAGTTCTGTTGTTCCATTATTCACCATGCACCTTATAACTTATCATTTAGCCTACTTGCACATAGCTCTGTATATATATATTTATGTCTCGTTTACTGCACATAGTTCTGTTTACATCTGTCAGTCCGATCACTGTCCACTTATATCTACTCTTTTATATTTTGTATTTGTAAGTTAAGTTTAAGCTTTAAGTTGTATTTAAATTGACACTTGCACTGTTGTTAATGTACAGCTCTGTGTGCTTTGAATTGCCTCCCCGGGGACAAACAAAGTTTTTTTTGAATTTGAATTTGAACGTGGTGATTTTATTGTGAAAGTCAACAACCGGAAGTGTCCGTGCAGCTGCATGTCTTGACCGTTGTCAGCAGCAGCAGCAGCTTCACGATCCTCCCTCAACACAACACTGTGTCAATACTACATCACAATGAGGCCGTAATGTCCGACGCAGGCGAGATCGGAGCATCTTGTCCAGGTTACTGATTCCTGTGTATGGATTTAATGATGATGAAGAAGAAGAAGTTCAAGTTTAAGGTGGACTTTGAGCTGGACGAGCTCTCGTCGGTCCCCTTTGTGAACGGTGTCCTCTTCTGTAAAGTCAGACTACTCGACGGCGGCTTCTCCGAGGAGTCCTCTCGGTGAGGATTTTAATAAACTAACGCTTAAACTTGCTTTTATTATCGTGCTCGCAGGTTAAATTAGTGATGTCATGAAGCTAACTAACAAGATACACGACCAAAAAAACAGTCATTTCTCCTGCTGTCATGGTGTTCTGTTGTTATCATGTTACCCTCCAGTTCAAGCTTTTCCTTCACCTGGTCGTGTTTGCAGGATTGCACACTGCACGCCATCGGCACTAACTTTTAGCATTTGTGACAATATGTGCCCAAAAATGTCTCACAATCTTCATTTCGTCGTGTTCAGGACGACGTGTGGTTTACATTTCAAAGGCCAACTTCCTTAAAGGTTGTTGGATCGATAAGTCGATCAGCCAGCTGACTTGTCTCACAGCTGATACAGAGCTAAGGAGGAGTCCTGCTTAATCAATACTGTAACTTCTGTCCTGTGTGTGTGTGTGTGTGTGTGTGTGTGTGTGTGTGTGTGTGTGTGTGTGTGTGTGTGTGTGTTTAGCTCTCCTTTAATCATTGGGTTGAATCTTTGCAGGGTTGAAGGTGCCTGATGCTCTTGCTCTTAATTAAACTGATATGGATTACCAATAATCAGGAAAATACAAGAAAGAGCTCAGCTGTAGATTTAAATACTAGTTCTTAAAGTGGTGTGCAGTAGAGCTGTGTTATTGTGAGTATTTCCTGTCTCATAGCTCAACATATTTTCTCATGTAAATAAATGTAAATACATTTTGTTTTGTTTGGACTACAATGTTTTTCTACGTTTTAACTTAAAAGGACTCATTTGAAATCCCAACGCGTTTCTCTTTAGCGGATTAGTTGTGCACAAACTCCACTGTTTGTGCGCACTGTCTGCAGCACATCTAGCAGATCACCGTGACGGACAGAGGTCTGTGCTAGGATATGTTGGGAAAAGTGTTACATGAATATCTGAAAAATTAATTCATGAGTCACTTGTTTTAAGAAAGCAACCATTTGGGTAGCTTTGCAAAGTCATATTGGTGCAAAGTCAGTGTAAAGTGTACATACATGCCAGTACAAAAGGTCACATTTCACCCCAGTTTAAAAACAAGTCGACATAGCGAAGGCCATATTGGTAATTAGTGAATTTACAGTTGAAAAAAAACTCTGTCCCCATAAAAGCAAAATCTGCAAAGCTGCAATACAGTGTCTTAAATCCTGAGATGATGTCTGCACATTGCTTTCTTTTCATTTTGGTCAAAGCAACAGTCGATAATCACAAGACATTTCACTCTTTGCAGGCAGACAGATAACACCTTAGCTGCCATTTCCCTCCACAGGTTTCACTGTCCAGTCAGAGACAATAGCAGTGAAACTCTGACACTGACTTATGGTACGGATAGATTGATGTTAAAAGGAACCACATGATGGGGACACCTAATAATTGTTCATAGAAGGAAATGAGTGTACCGTTTGTCACGTCCCTGAGATCTAAGCAGTAGTGATATTAAGAAATGCATGATGACGTTATTACTGCTATCAAGTGGAGACAGGCACAGGCGGTCCCCTCCTCTGTAATCCCATTTGGGTATTCTCTCATAAATTAAGCATTTGACGAAGGGGAAAAGCATTTGTTTTGGATCCCCGGCTCAAAGGATCAGATGGCTTCACCATGATTATATAACAAGCCCCCCTGTTTCCCTGCAGTAAGTAGCTCTTATAAAATAGCCAAATAGAAAGGCCTAGTGTGTTGTTATGTGTGATTCAGAATGCCTCAAAGGTCTTGGCATTACGGTCATTTTAAAATGGCTAAATGAAATAGAAGAAATACTGTTAGAGTTCTTCATGCCTGATAATGAAGATTAAATCCTCCAGATTTCCAGAGGATTTATTGATTTTCTGTGTCGTTAAAATACTTTATTTGCAGCAGTCAGATTTATCAAAGCCCTAAAGTAGACTAACGCTCGTTTAAATCATCCAAACTGTGAGTGTAAGAGAAACAAGGGTTGTTGTTTTATGAGCCGTTCTTTTCCTTTGGTGTGGCTTGTCATCTTTGGCACCATTGTTTCTGCCTAAAGCAAGTTTCCATTGTTATATAAGCTTACTTTTTTTTTTTATGGACAAATGACTTTATATTTTCATAGCTGTTCGACTTGGGAAAACCTCGTATTCTGTGTATCAATGTGTTTGTGAGAGAGAGAGAGAGTTGATTTTACCCCTTCCTGTGACCGCAACTGTGCTTCATACAAGGATATCTATTATCTGACTCATGTATCGAGATGAGAGCACACTAGTGCCTAAAGCAGACTTACTATCACTCACTATAGGAGTGTTTTTGCGCTGTGAGTTACACTACATGCAATCAAGCCTGAACTCTCGAAGCACAGAGCGTCCAGCTGGCTGGGAGTTTCCTCTCTCCGTCTCGGGGAGCCGGTGAAGTCAGCGTTTGTACAACATTGGTCACGCATCTGCTGCTTTTTTTTTTAATGTGTAGTGAGTCAGGGAAGCAGTGCACAGCATGGGCCTGTTATTCATTCAGTCGTAACCATCTTAAGAGGGATCTGCACACCCCGTTAATCATCAAGGTGTTATGTCTCTAACACTCTTTGCACTTCACCTTCTGTCAGGATCCCTTCAGTCTTGAGCTCTTTTTTCACTATTTGAGATGCAAACTATTGTGTTAGAGAGGATTAAAAAAACCTGTTCTGCGTGTATTTAAATCCAGCAAAGTGGATATTTCTGAATGGCATGCGAGCTTTCTCAACAGAAGGGAATTGGTTTGGTGAGTGGGAGAGGAGAGGATGGCTGTGAGTGAGTGAGAGAGAGAGAGAGAGAGAGAGAGAGAGAGAAGCCATCTGGGATATCGTAATGCTGCCCACACACACACACACACATACACACACACACTCTCTCCTCTAACGTTTCATCTCATCCTTTCACTGAATGTGGACTACACCTCACCCTCATTTTAACCTCGAGTATGAGCCCAGGCGGTGGACTAAATGATTTTGTGTGCACTAAATCAATAGGTGGAAGAAAAGGACTGTGATTAACCAGCGTGTTAAGTGGCCAGAGAAATCAGAGGCTAAGCCCATAAGCTGGTGTTGGCAGCTTGAACCAGCAGCTTCAAGCAGGAAGAGATGAGTTCATTGTTGGATTGGGAATTAGCACCAGTTAACAGCCAAATGCAGGAGAAATGTGAAAACTGGGGCAGGCGTCAGATGCACGTGATGCAACAGTCATTGTGATATAGAAATATACAAAATGAAGTTTGATTCAATCATTTATGGAGGTGACTGCACAACAGCAAAAAATAAAAACGGATGGCTAGGCAGAAAATCAATAGAACTTATCCATAAAAGAATTGTTTTGGATTGTTAGGATTTGATATCTGAAACTATTCCATCAAAGAATAAAAAAAGTACCGGTACCCTAAAGACGATGTTGAAAACATTCAGACATTCCTCTAATGAGAAGTAGAGATGCACCCGATCCACTTATTTAAATTTCTGATCCAATTCCAATACACTGATTCCAATATTTTGTTTAAATCATAATTAATATTGTCATTGTTGGTATTAATATGTCAATACTGTTCATTTACAACTCCTGTTTTTGCACATTTACATTTAATCTTTCATATTTAATACTAGTAATGCTAAATTAAATCCTGGTTGTATATATTCACATTCTTAGTTTTGATTTTTTAGTGCTTATTTACTTTGTATTTAATATTATATTGTGTTTAAATTTACTCATATTGTGTGTTTGGACAACCTGCTGCTGTAACGCTATTGTATTCTATATTATGTGTAAGGCTTCACAAAGCTTCAGTTAACCAAACAAACAGGAAGCAGCAACAACTGTAAGGTTTTACAAATTAAAACTTTTCAACTGGAGAGTAAGAATTGTACTTTGTATCAAATAGAAAAAGCTGTTCCATCTAATCTTAACGTTGTCATGTCAACGATTTTAGTCCAATATCCGATTTGTAAATTACGTCAATATCGGACCCGATACCGTTATTAGATAAGGTCGGTCCCATCACTGTTAATAAGTTGAATGTCACCCAATGGAGAACTTTAGAGGTTTTTAATCAAAGTTTGTGTTGTTGCTTTTGTATTTTATTGATAAGAATAATAAATGATAACTATTCTGTCCCTGGGCTTTACATCAATCAAGACTTGTAATGTAGTTCTCAAGTTGAAGAAAAGGAAATGAACTTTTCCGTTGTTTTTGTACACATTATAATGTTACTGCCTGGCTGGATTTGGGATTTCATTTCTTCTTTTTTGTAGCAATCTTTACTCATCTTAATCTGTAATCATGACCCTAAGCTTTCTAACATCTGGCTGTAAATTACCCTTTAAGAGCGCACTCAAAAATGCATCTTTTTCTGACCTTTCCAGAGGGCTTAACACTGATCTTTGTCTTTGTGATTTCCCCTGACAGGGAGCCAGTGCAGGCCAACTGTGTCCGATGGAGGAAACGGTTCTCGTTCCCCTGCAAGATGAGCGCCAACGCCGGGACAGGTGTACTGGACCCTTGTGTGTGTCGTGTGTCTGTCAGAAAGGTACAGTGTAAGACTGCTGAGTCTCAGACTTCAGATTTAGATACATCTACAAAATCAGATGAGCCATAAACGTAGGCTTCACATTGTGAACATTTAAGGTTCAAGTTAAAGATGCTTCAAGCGCAGGCTTCAAAAGGCGACATTTTATTTCAAAATAAGGTGACAGAAAAGGGCTGTGTATGTCAATAAAATAAATAAACTCATCCCCGTGAAGAATGTGACTCTCATTTGATTGCTACCATAACATCTTAAACCTTAAATGTGAGTGTGCTGTGGTTGTTTAATCATGCTTTATTTAATCATTTCACAGTATTTCAGAATATTAGAGGGAGAAGGAGAAAATCACCAAGCTTGATTAAGCCTTCCAGATAAAATACAGGTTGTCATTATCAGTGGTTCTCAACTGGTGGGTCGTGGAGTTGTTTTAGGTGGGTCGCGAAAGTGGGCTTTGAAAAAAAAAAAGTCTGAAAATCACTTTTGTTTTGTTTCATCTTCTTGTTCTGTCATTTCTTTGGACAGTCTGAGGTATCAAACAAATCTCATTGGTTGAAAAATATCTGAATTTTGGGTCGCAATTTCTTCTTAAGGAGCTTGTGATAGGTCCAGTTGAGAACCACTGGTCTATATACATGTCTATTTCTAGTGTACTCAGAAAACACCTTTAATATTATGCTCCCACTGGGTGACGCTCCCACTAGGTGACCCCCCCCCCCCCCCACCACCACCAGTGTTTAAGTATTGAACCTTCAAAATGTCAAACAGTCGCCCTTTCCTGCTGTTTTGGTCTAACAACACTGAACATGGTTTGTTTTTCATTTGGAACGCTTTCTTATCAGGACACCATTAAATTAATTATTTTCCCAGTCCCATCCGGTCTATGGTCACATTCAAGTGCTTTGGAACTACAATATTTCAGATATCAAGAATTTAATCGTGCTAAAACATGTCAAGCCTTAAGGGTTTAAACACTTTTTTTTTTGTTATCTGAGTTAAAGTGTTTGGCTATAAAATATGTATACATCTCTCTTTCAGGAGCTGAAAGGTGGGAAGGCATATGCAAAGGTAAGCCCTCATATATTTATGTTATCCAACAGCCTCCCCTGACCCACCCTACAGGTCACCTAGATTTACAGTAATCAGCCACCGCCAAGAGAGCCCGCAGCTAACAGATGGTCAACAATGCCTGCAGGTTGTCTCATTATGTGCTGTGTTCTTGTTTCAGTCTTTGTAAGAAACTATTAACCGAGCATGCTGACACTAAAGCTTCAAGATTTCCCTCTAGTTTCTTTCCTGTCCTGACCTCTTGTCATATTACATCCACATATTGCTGCTGAGCAGGCAGAACACAAATCTCCTGAGAGAAAACAAAGTTCACCCGTTGTCATTCTTTCTCCTTCAGCTCGGTTTTGCAGATCTGAATTTAGCAGAGTTTGCCGGCTCAGGGAATACAACCCGCAGATGTCTGCTGGAAGGCTACGATACCAAAAATACCCGCCAGGATAACTCCATTCTCAAGGTAACACTGAAGCCCCAGTGAAGCAGCCACACCAGTCTGACTTGACTGCGTTAGGAAGGTACCCTGGTGTTTTGAATACAAGCATGGTATGTCCCGCAACTAAGACCCAAAGACCTGCATGGAAAAGGGTTTCGCATAAAGGTTTAGGATGGAGTACAACAACAGTGGCTGTCCCCCCCAGTCGTGTGTTAGATTGTAGCCAGAAACAAACCACTGAAGAAGAAGAGCTGTTATAAACACAGAGATTCACAGACATTATCTGAGTAAATAAGAAAGTTATAAGTCCCAAAAAGGATTTGAATGAGAAGTTGGTTCACGTACAGATCTGCCTTGAGCTTTTGATTTGGTTTTTTTTGCCATTTTGGATGAAGTATGCTTGGACCTATTTGCAGAGTTATAAGTTTAAAGAAAGAAAACAATGCAAGTCAAACCTTAACCGTTAACATGTCTCTCTCTTTTCTTAGGTTATCATCAGTACGCAGCTTATGTCAGGGGATCCCTGTTTTAAAACGTAAGTGAACTGTTCTCAACTTTATTGCACTGCTGCAGCTGCTTTGGTCTTCAGGTCGTCATCAGTCGGTTAACTTGTAGTTGGGCATTCGAGTTTGAACATTTTTACCAATACAATTTGAGTTGTATGGACCTTTTGGAATAAGAGAGCTTGTGGGGTTAAACAGTTCCTATCAGTTTCAGACTTTAAAATGATATGCTCTATCTTCTATCAGTACAGCTGCACTAAAAGCACCACTATCTATTACAGGATAAAAATGCTAAAAATGCAAAAACAAAACAAAAACAAACTGCTGTATGTGCAAAAGTAACAACATGCCGTCTGCTGCTGACTCATTTTGATTTGGAGCTGTTACATGAATTCCATTGTAGGTGTGGTGCTGACATCTGTTATGGTTTTTCACGTGTTTGTACACACTTGATTAATCAAGCAAGGAACATGTTTTAGGCTCTCACACTTCTTTTAGTAGAAACTTGCTGTGCAGTGAAAGCGTTTGTCACATACGTACAGAGAGAGCGATATGCTGCCTTACCCGAGGGCGGAATTTGACCTAAAAATTATTCAGTAGCCTTTATGTAAATACCAATGGCTTCTTTTATTTCAGCTTGAATTCAAATCCCTGAGTTTATTCTACAGTACTTCTAGACAACCAGAATTTAAATACTTAATGTCCTGACTCAATGTTGTTTCGTTTTGCTGTTTTAGTTCCATCTCCCTCGATGATGTTGTTTTCTTACCTTGCTTTGTGTTTTTTTTATAAGAACGATTCAAATAACGGACACACTGAAATACTAGAGAGGAGAAAAAGGAACTATTGTCTTTCCTCTGTCATCAGGCCGCCCTCCACAGCCACAGTCATCGGGATCCAGGGGGATGTAGAGAGCGTGCTGGAGGAGAGGAGGAGAGGGGACTCGCAGAAAGGCTGTTCTGGTGAGACCAATCACGCCACATTACACTCTCCTGCTCTGCCTCATCATCCCAATGGCTTTTTTTTCTTTTTTTTTTAAAACATCTGATGCGCTCTCTCTTTTGCTGTGCTAAACCCCAGCTTATAATTAGTGCAGTTTATCACATGATACAGACATATCCCTCAAATTGTTCAGCAAAGCAGAAAGATTCCACCATTTTAACTGTATGATGTATCTTCTATATTCTCTAAATCACTGCTATATAACACCGATAGCAGTTTACATTACACAACGTCTGACCTGCTTTCTTGCCATATAACACTTCACTCCGGCTCCTTGCTTGCTGCACCAACTTTGGAACGAGGGCTGTGTTTTTCCCACAACCCCATGACTCGACACGTATCACGATACAGTACATATCGTGATATACACTGGTTTTGGATAATGGACCATGTCCTACACAGAATTCACTACAACAGCTGTATTGTTGAGAATAACAGCAGAGGCCTTAGGATCCTACAACCTAAAACGCTCCAATTCATTTCATCAGAGATCCATCAGAGAAAAAAATGTAATCCCAGAGCTATGGCTGCGGTGTTATTGTGAGCTGCACCAAAGGTCAATTGTCTTTCAAAACTGTCCTCACAGCTTTGCAGCCATATCGATTCTGTAACATCTGCCTCCATACATGTATTTGCAAGGAGCACATGACGATACAGTTAAGTTAAATACAAAGGTGTGGTGTTGGTAGATAAAGGAGTTTTGTTTTTAGAATTGGTATTGGGGAGGAAAACGTTGCAGTGCAGTTGTTCCTTCTTCACTAATAAAGCTCATCTTTGAAGCTGCAGACATTGTTCTGATAAATACTGTGATTCTTCCTGTATGTCACGTGCACTTGTCTCTGGAGTACTTTTTTTATCACTGCTATTCATTTACCATCCAGCTGCACTGTACACATGTTTCTTTTCCAGCTGTGCCTTTCTGCTACATTTCACTCTCCTGTGTCCCTCTCGTCTCTACCTGTGTGTGTGTGTGTGTGTGTGTGTGTGTGTGTGTGTGTGTGTGTGTGTTCATGGACGAACACGTTGCTGTAGTGAATGCTTGTGCATGCTGGAAGCTTCAGAGTGTAGTGCAGCTCTTTCATGTATAATTTAAACTAGTTCTCTTTTAGATAAGCTACAATCTGCTCTGACCCTGTAGGTCTGTCATGGTTAAAAAATAGGACGTGTGTGGTGTGTGTGTGTGTGTGTGTGTGTGTGTGTGTGTGTGTGTGTGTGTGTGTGTGTGTGTGTGTGTGTGTGTGTGTGTGTGTGTGTGTGTGTTGTGTGTGTGTGGTGTGTGTGTGTGTGTGAGTCTGTGTGTGTGTGTGTGTGTGAGTCTGTGTGTGTGAGGGGGGATTGTTGGTTAGCATGTATTCACAACACGTGTATTTGTCTGCTGAAGACAATTGTCTTTCCCACCAGCAGCATTGTGTCTTGGTTGTGCATGTTTGCGGATTATGTGCATTAGTTTTTCACATGTTGGTGCAGCATCAATTGAAAAAGGATGTTGTTTTAGTATTTAGCAATTATGATTTATTATTTATTTATAGATGGGTTTATAAATGTATTTATGCATGCTGGTCCTCCAAGACAAGTCTAGATATTGTGTGAACCCGTGGATGCAAAGGTCACTGTAACCGACAAGTGTGTATCAGTGAGTCAAAATAGACTTTTCATTTAACACAAAATTATAAAGATTTATTAGGTGTCCTAATTAGCTATTTGTATAGAAAGGAGTAAGAATATATCATTTCAGAATTAAACACTTCTGTGCCTGCCTGGCTGTGATCATTGCATCATACGCGTTAAGCACATTTGAAAACGGGGCAGATGTGACATTGTTTCATTTTTATTCTGGGATTAAAACAAAGGGGTTTTTCAGGGAATGCTGGATATTACATGCTTAAATATTCACTTCACTAAAACCTTAGGGGGAAGCTAGTTCACATTTAATCCACATTTACATCCTGAGGTTCAAAACAACTGGAATGGTTTGTATCTTCTGCTTTGTTGCTGAGGCAGAGGACTTTCTTTTTTCTTTTTTCTTACCCAAAGCTTTTTGAACTCTGAACTGTTCAGCCTGCGGGCAGCTCAGCCTTTTTTGCCCATGTGCCTGCTTGACATTAAAAGTGGTACACGGGTTTGTTTTTTTTACTGCACGTGTTTTAAAAAGGCTGACATTTCAGAAACTGGGGTACACACTCTCCAACGTTGGTTGTCACAACAGTCATGTAGCCTTTTGGATTTTTCAGTCACATATTTTCTTTTTATGGCAGACGCACCTGAGCTTTGAAAATGTTGTGTATGTGGGTAAATGTTGTGATAGCATTGGGGGGAAAAAGGGGTTCTACTGTCATTCTAAAACATTCTCAGAAGTGCTTTTATTTTGGTAGCCACCATAGCTAATTTTTCCAACAATGGTCACTTCCTCATTTTCAAAGGGACGGTGAACTAAAGGACAATGTGAGAAGATGTAAGGAGTTTAAACCGCTTTCTGTCAGCAGAAATAAAATGCTTTCATTCACTGCAGCATTTTCTACACCACACTAGCAAGCTGGAGATCAGACATGGAGAGTACACAGCATGGTTCTTGACAGGTTTACTGCAGTTCCTCCCTCTGATTTGGCTTCAGTAAGGCCGTAAACCAAGGATTTCTGTCTTTATACGTACATGTCAGTTTTTTAGCAATACAATCTTGTAGAGCTTTCGGGCCTTCACAAATACTCTGTCTATCTTTTCTGTTCTGTCTAATCCAGCAGAGAGTCGAGAAGGGAAGTGTCCTGTTGTTTCTGAGGATCTTGGCGGCTGCGGCCATTCCCGAACATCCAGCTATGCCAGCCAACAGTCCAAACTTTCAGGTAGAGGCCCCCAATAATATTCAATATTTTGAATTTTATTTCTTAATTTTAACCAGATATGGATCGTACACACAATCTCTGCAGATAAAGTCTAATTCATAAGTAGCTTTTTAATACGGTTGTTTTATACCAACCACATCAAATACAAAACACCAATCTTTTGCTCTTCTGAAATCATCAAGAGCAGCAGAGTTTTGCAGGACATGTCTGTCACCACAGCCTCATGGACAGCTCTCACCACAGAGACAAACGTTACCATCACTTGTCATTTCATTCACAACGGGGAATTGGGAAAACCGCTGTACTATATACAAACAGATGAGCAACACAGTGCAAAAAACATAGCGGACCACCAGAAGGTCTTTGTTCAACTTCTTCCTTTTTTTATTGTAAAAAATATTTAATAAGTGAGTACTCATTTATAAGGAAACGAGAGTATTTAGATGACTGTAAATGTCCATCCCTGGTGAGGACAAGCTGAGAAACCCTTTGAGAAAGTAGTAGAGAAGTAATGAAATTATTCTTCAGTGACACTCCACCAGAGCGGTTCGAACTTGAGGCTCCAGTTTCCATTAGAGGCAGATCAGATGTCTGTAATAAAAAAAAATCAGAGGAAATAGAGAGATGCACTGAGCACAGCTTTAATGGCCCTGAAAAAAGCGTATTAGAAAAAGTATTTCCTGCCACATTTAACTGTTGATAGATTTATTTGAACGAGGAATTAGTGTGCAGGAAGTTTCCACGACTGTTGTGATCTGATGCCCTGAGATCTCTCATGCTTGAAATGGCTTCCTGTAGACACAGACAGCATGTGAGTCACACTGCACTGCAAAAAAATTTAACACACCGCATGTCACAAATCTACTCAACAGCACGGCAAAAACTAATCCTGAATAACGCCTCGTTTGAAAGCGGTTCATGTTTATGAACTAATGTTTGAATCCTGATATTAGGTAGTTCTTGTACCTTTTCACTCCTCCACTTGTATCTATGTCATTAATGTTTAAAGGTAGACTTTGCTGTTATTAGATAAATGTGTAATGACATGAATGTGTCTCAGCAGCGATGAGGCTTTCATTTCTTTAATGCAACGACAGACCTTCTAAGGAGTTCCAGAGATGTATAATTACTCAACATGAATAAAAAATCGGATGCATTGACCTAGTAGAATGATAAATGTTGAACGTTTTTACAGTACAAAGCACTTTTAACAAATTATTTTACATTTTAAACACTGAAGGCAAAAAAACAACAACCCCAAAGGGGCAATGCAGCAGAGATGTCTAAATATGCAGGACACATTCCTCCTGACTCTTTAAACCAACTAAATTGTTTTTTCTATAATATTGTATCCAATGACAAAGTCAAAACAGGCAAAATAATGTCAGTCTTGGTGATAAGCTTTATCCAGATAAGATAAAAACCAAAATGGTGACTGGAAAAAAGCTCCCATTAAGTGGTGTGGAAGGAGAATGCTTGAGTATTTAGATAACTGTACATGTCCATCCCTACTATCAGCATGAAGTGATGCATCAATGAAAACAAGTTTCCACTGTTCTAAAATGGACAACAAAGATATTATTGTTCTTTGAAGAACTGTACTGTACTGACAATCTGTTGTCATCTCTCTCAGGATACAGCACAGGTCACTCCCGCTCCTCCAGCATGTCAGAGTTCAGCCATCGGAGAAACCACTCAGTAGGGAGCGCCTCAACAGGCATTGGTAGCATCCCAGAGCCCAGTGAAGACCGGGACAGAGAGTCAAGACCCTGCCCTGCTCTACCGGAACACCCAGTCCCTACAGCCACTACTAGCAACCCAGTGGGTACACCAGTACAGAGTGCCTCATCCTGTGAACGACTCAACAGGTGAGTTGTTGTGTCATTTAGAAAGTGTATGAAAAATGCATACGGATGTCATTGCTGTCAAAGTCCCAATGCACAAAGAAAATGCACTCATCCAGTCAAAATGGTAACCCCATGTTTTGTAACAATAAAGGAGAAAGTTATTTAATAGACGTTAAACTTTAATCACATCTGAGGCTTGTGGCACATTACAGGAAGCATCTGCTCTGAGGCAGAAGAGCGGAAAACTAACTGTGGGTTCTTTATGTGGTGTCCTGCAGGGGCTCTTGTTGTTTTTAAAGAGTTTGTTTGTTTGTGGGATCTAAAAATGTCCTAGCATGAGTCAAGCAGAGAAGCTTGTTTAGCCCATGTAGAGTTTTAAAGTACCTTTGTTGAGCGCTAAGGGTGACTTAGAGACGGGCCTTACAGAGTGGAGAGTGTATGGCTCTGGGGGAAGCCCATACCAAGTCCTACATAATGCTACTTTAGGTGTACTGTACATTTAGCCAACCGCCTAAGGCCTGCATTTTTACCATTTAATTCTCACAAACATGTTAGAACTACACAGTAAAGCTATGCTATATCTTCATATTTACCAACCTAAATGACAGAGGGGTCAGTCTGTTTTTTTGCAAGAAAGCAAAGAGGCATGTTGTAAAATGTTTAACGATTCATTGAAACTACCCGGGTTTTGTCAGAAAACTGTTCAAATAAAGTGCACAATATGTGTATGAAATTTTCAAGCTGGCTTCAATTATTGATTTAAAAAAACAAGTTTCTAAATAGCAGTACCTAATTGATTGCTCTATTCACGTGCTACTGAATCCAAAGCAGCAAATAGAACTGGTGTGGCTGCTAAAGCTGCAAAAACAATGTGTTAATGGACAACAAGTGGACTCTGATAGGCATCATTTTCAGCTGCTTACATGGACTCCCATGTTACACTGGTGGTTGACCGCAACCTTGTTCAGCACCAAATGAAAAATAAAGTCAGTGAGACAAACTTTTTTCGCTTCTATATCCGTCTCCTCAGATACCCAGTGAAGCAGGACTCCATGGAGTCACAGATGAAGAGAATGGACGACACGCGAGTGGATGCAGACGATGTTGTGGAAAAAATTCTTCAGAGTCAAGACTTTACACCAAGCCTACTGGACTCCAGTGCTGAAGGTAAGGCCAGAAAAACAGAGCGAGGTCGATAGAGGATAGAAGTCCTACAAACACAATATTTAGATTTATTTTGGTTTTAGTAAACCAACATGTACATTTTAAATACTGTTCAAAGTAACAAAAGGCATAATAAGCTGAATTTCCCACCTAAAATTGGAAGACCCATTTAAAAAATATTCCATTTGAATAAATCTAGTCAGAAAGTGTGTGATGTCTGTATCTGCTCAGGCCCCACCCCCTGTCTGTGCTGTTTGTTATGTTGCTGTGCAGATGTGCTTATAGGTTCTCTAGAGTGTATGCACTAAGAAACAATCGAAAATATCAATGGGTCAATTATCCATATTTCATTTCCAAATAAAAATATTCAATGAAGGATCAATCCTTCATTAGTTGTAGCCCTACTCTGGAGCCCTCCTGCTTTTTTTAATGAAACAGTTTATTTGCATTAGAAAATGATTCACAGTACTTTAGCCCTCCATGCACAAAGTCTGTGCACTTTGGGGAGAAGGACAATGTTTTTTCTTTCCAAGGTCTCATGCAGCTCAAAGCTGTGAAACATAAGATGTTGTCAATACATGATTATTTTTAGATTGCCTAGCAACTGGCTGCTCCTCACGACCAGAATTATACAAGGGGATGTGTGCGCTCTGCACTGACTGAATGTTACTACAACTGTGTCTGTTTCAGAGGAGGGCCTGCGTCTGTTTGTTGGCCCTGGTGGAAGCACAGCCCTAGGAAGCCATCACCTTCATTCCAGGTGAGCATGGCTAAGATCTGTCTGAAACTATCTTAATGGATCGCCATTAAATTCAACAGCAACCAGGGGCTGCCTGTTGTGCAACTATGGCCAGTACATAATAACTGAATGTGGAAAAGACAATGTGCAGCTTGACATTACGGTCAATAAAAAGTGAATTGAACATTAGCGTTCGCATTAGTATTCACATCCTGTTCAATTCTTGGCGACCCAAGAGGGGAATACATTATCTGTTTGTGGTTAACCCCTCCATGCTTTTGATGGACCCACAACCTCCTCATGCCTGTCTCCTTATCTTCCTTCTTAATAACAACCCATCACTCCTGCTCTTCAGTGTACATTTCCCTGTAACAATACAATCAAACAGACAGTTAACTGACTTCCTCTGCACCACATTTTGTCTTCCCCACATCCATTAAAAAATAGGAATTTCGCCTCAATGTCCCAAATCTTCAAGTATAGCTTTAAAGGACACTATGTAGCCTGTTTGTCATGCTTAACATGCTTTTAGTTTATCTTAGTTGGTTAGCGCGCTCTTAGCTAGTGACGAAAAGACAATAACTTGCTGTGTTGTGTTGACTGTGAGAATAATGTGAAAAAGGTTCTGTAAATAATTTTAGATAAGAAATAAAGACTGCTAGATTGCTTTAAAAGGCATTGGTGTTAGTACATTACATTGGTGTAAGTTAAAAAACCTACCAGCTTTACATTTAACTCGTATTGATGTCTGTACTGTCTTTGAAAAGTGACCTGCAAAAACATATGAACACAAACAAAGCTAGAAGTATATGACTATGATGACAGCTCTACTCTATGATGCTGATTTCATTTGGTGTTTTCTTTTCATCCCAGGGTTGGAGCTGGAGCATACGAGCAGGTGGTGATAAAGCGTTAGACATGCAGGCTCTAAGAGGAGGGCTCACACTGCTTTGAGAAAAAACTAAACTTGATGTTAGGCTGTGTCAGCTTCAATCTGCACTCCTACAGCACACACAAGTTACCTGATCAGCACTGTGTCCTCCCTGACATTAACATTAACATAAAACGCCGACAGTCTGTTTCACATTTTCTGGGATTAGATTAACCTCATTAGTTGAAGTCCAACGTTTTCACGCAGCAGCCAAAACTGTACCGAATAAATTGTAGAGGAACTGGGAGAAATCGATACTGAGGACACAGGACATGCTGTGTGTGTGTGTGCACCATCAGAACAAACTGATATCAGCACTGAAGAGGAGTACGTGCTTTCAAAACATTCCTTTTGACTCTTTTGTGTGTTCGGAGATCTCAAATAGGATTTTATAATTATGAATAGCCTATAAGCTGCTAAAAAGCCGCAGTTGTTGGCACTCTGACAACTGTTATTGTTTTGATTGTGAGAATGTTTTACTACAAAAAGGAGGCATCAGAGTCGAGCTATTTGAGGATGCAGACTGTGTGTGAGTGTAGGTAAGTGTCTTTTATGTGTTGACCACTGTTAGCAGTTATCCTGTTGTCGTGGATGAGCGGGAGGATGTGACACAATGTCTTTCGTAGCGGATGTTATATTGGTACTTGCAAAAAAAAAAAGAAAATGTGATAACAGACGTTCTTGTTGCATCTGAATGGCACACTGCTAAGTGTTGTTTAGGAGAATCCTCCACAGAGAGGGGGATTAACACCACAATTGTTGAAGACCAAGTGAAGACATTTTTTGATACTTTCCTCACCATATTATCACCAAAACTGTAGAAAAGTGTAAAGCAGTTAAAACTGGCTTTGAAAATGTCACTTTCTACAAATAGGGAGCGTAATGAATCTAAATCCCAGTGACTAGGTTTTGGTTTTGTAGTGCTCACCATGTTGCTGTAACAACACATCAGTTCAGGTTGCGTTTACTGCACTCTGTCACGGAGAGACAGCCAACGAGACAGCTCAAATAAATGTAATGCCTTGTAAATTATCAGATTGATTTCAGTATTTTAATAAGAGATGTACAGACTAATGCCCAGCTAAACAGATCCATTCTATACCTGTAATCGAAAGCTTACTAAATAAATGTTATTTTCTTAAACAGATTTAAAAGGACAAGAAAACTGAAATATAGGTAAATACTGTGACTTCCCCCCAAAAATTCCACAAATATTATCCAAACACACAGGCAGTCTAGTTTTTTTTAGGTGATGTTTCCTTCTTTTTTTAAAAAAAGAAAATGTAAATCCTACGTCAACGATGTTATGTGTTTAATATTCAGCCGAAATTTTAAAATATGAAGGTTTTACGTGTCTGTTACGCAGTCTGCCTTTTTTCTGGTTTTTCTGCTCTTGTAAGTGAATGCTTTCTGGCTTTGTAGGTCAGTAAAAACCAAATGTAAAGGGGCTTCTGTGATTAATATCAAGGTAGAAGGGCATATATCCAATGCCTGGCATTTAAGCTATGTATCTATTGTATACCTATGCTTTGCAACTCAACTACATCATTGGAAGAAGGCCTGTTGATCAGGAAGCTTAAATCAGCAAACAAATGGAAGATGCTGTGATATATCAACAATTTCATAAACGTGCAACTGATACATACTGTAGTTTGTATCGCTCTAGGATTGTTAAATGAAGGACTTAATAGGTGATTCACTGCCATGTAGAAAATGCTCAACAGCACCTGTCTTAAAAAGCTGCAGAGTATTAGATTTCTTTGTGTATGTATATCTCCCTCCAGCTTATAAACTGCTAGACTAAACAACAGTCTAATAACAAATCTATTATCCAACGCAATCAGTATCGAATCAATTAGAGCTGCAGATAGAAGTCCGACTTCCTAATATACATCTGAAATCCTGATAGTGTCATGCATGTTGAGGATTTGAATTTGTAGCCTCAGAAGATTAACTGCACAATAAACTCATTAAATATCAAACTAGCCAAAGTACACAACAAACGATTCACCAGGGACCCTGTCAGGCCTATGCATAGGGAGTAAATACACATTATAACTAGTGAAAACAGACTGTATAGTATCTATAATCTTCTGTCTCCTGTCATAAGCCATAGTCGAAGTATGATACTTCCTTCCTTAGATTATATACATGTGGAATCAATATCTGCACAAATGTCATTGTATGGTATTGAACTGTCAGTGTTCTCTGTTTCTGTGTCCCTCTGTTCTGCATGATGAAGATGTCCTTTTGTTAGCTTGCAGAACTTGACACATCTTCATGTTTTACCTAATTTAATATTGTGCCATCTTTTAATCTGAATATTTCCACACTGAAGGAAGATTTTCACTTGCCTAATTAGCAGGTATAACATCTGTTTTGTTATTGATACGTCATGTTAAAGCAGAAATCTGCGAAGTATTTGCTGTGACTGTAAGTCAGTGTTCTCATTTGATTATTTTGTATTTCCGGCATGGTTTGAATTTTCAAATGATGAAAGTTACATCTGAAGGATATCATCGTCTGTGTTTTGGAATCTTTCATTGCTGATATTGTGCCATATGTTTTCTAAATAATTCATTCTTTAAGGGAGAGAAAAAAAGTCTTCTCCCTGCATAGTAAAAAAGTGTTTAGTGTATGATTTATGGCTATCCAATAACAACTATTGTCTGTTTTTTTTGTGTGTGTTTTTGGATCAAAATCACTTGTTTCACCTGTGGGGAACAGGTGTGTTCATCTTGGTACCTAACATGTTGTTACAAACATGGTTTCTTCTTCTCTTCTGTGAAGCTGTTGTCTATATAAAACTGTCAAACGTATTCTCCGGTGAAGTGATGTTCTGCGCTGTTCTGACACCGTTCAGTGTTTCCTGTTAAAGGCTTGTTTTTTGACCAACATCTGCTTCCTTAACAAGAGTACTGGATGCTTCAAATGTGTACCTTGCACTGTTGAATTAAACGGTTAAAAAATCTGGAGCAAGTGTGATTTCATTTCATCTTGTTAAAATATACAACATCCAGCAGGAAATGTTTCCTTTTCAGACTTTTATTTTACACATCTGGACTGTCAATATACTCGTGTTGTAGAGGCCAGAGGTGACACTTTAATTCTTACAGAAAAACAAAGTTGCAGTAAAAAAAAAAAAAAAGCCACTTAACAAATCCAAGAGCCAGCTCTTCACGGATTTGTTAGAACATTTTGTGATGTCCAGTAGCATCCAAGTGAAGTTCACTCATGAGTTCGCTTGGTAAATTTGAAGATGTCACCTACTTGTCCTGTATCCTCCAGATCAAACATTTGTCTCCCAGTCTTCCTCTTGCTCAGCACTGTGGAAACACTGGCTGACCCCAGCATATCCGCTGTCCTCCAGATCATTCTGATCCCTCTTCTTCTTCTTCTTCAAGGTCTTAAACAACAGATGAAAGATCAACCACAGAAACTGATTATTAGATTTATTGGAAGAGTCATTACAAAGTCAGCTGAGGATGCATTGTGGTCGTAATTCACCATTAATGATTAATTGTTCACAAACCGTGATGAAGCGCTGGAAATGTTCATTGTTATTAACCGCTACAGTTAAATGGTGACACCTGCTGGGCAACCTTTGGTGTTGCATTAGTAATGGAGGTGTTCACTCTAAGACAACAATTAAACTTTTCAGTCAGAATACAAACCCGAGTAATGTCGTCATCAGTATGTCTTTTTGGTCTGTAGGTACTCTATGTTATTGTGTTGTTGAAGCAAGGTGAGGAAAAGATATCAAACAGTGACAGAGTATCAGCTGTAATTAATTAGAGTAATATTTATTAATTGAGTGACAGCACTAGTTTAAAGATCAAATGTAACACACTTGAAAGAGACTGAACTGTAAGTACCCTGTTCTTGAAGATTTACAAGCAGAGCAGAGCCATCCTGGCTCAGTTTCACTTCGGGACCATCCATCAACAGGCGTCTGAGGTTACTGAGACTTCCACTCAGGGCACCGACTTTGGGACAGGATGTCCACAGCACAGCCAGAGGGACAGACACACTCCTGTCAGCACAGACAACAGGTCACATTATAATACGAAAATGCTGACAGAAGCTTTGACGTCGTCTGAACAGTCATGGAAGAGGAATTCAGACCTTTACTTAAGTTAAATTAGCAGGACTTAAAAGCGTGAGTTAAAAGCTTAGGGTGGCCAAATTAGTTGATATTTACATTCATCTAAACTCTTTTATATTGTCATAAGTCAAAAAGATCGGTTCATTCTGTAAAAACTAAAAATAAACAGCTTAACATCCTTACTACATTTCTACTTTCGTTATTGGTGCAATAATTGTGCATGCGCTGAGAGTTTTCTACCAGGTTAAACTAAACTAGGGCAAAAGGGAAACAAAAGGTGGTTGGACAAGTTGAGAACAACAACAACAACAAAAACAACAATGTGCTGTGCTCCTTTTCCTCTTACTTTTCATGATTATCCTCCAGGTCTCCCAATTTTGAGATCAGTTCACATTCCACTGCTTCTTCTTACTCCGAGTATACTTCATCTTCGTCAAGCAAACTCACCTTTGCAATGTGCTAGACTCCTGTTTTCCTTTGCCTTTTGTCCAAAACTCCTCGTCACCTTCTCCTGCCTGATATTCTAACAATGCTCTGCCACGGTGCTCCATCAGATGGTTCATCTCTGCTCCATGTGCTGTGGGATACAGAATCTTACTGTAAGCACTTCATTTGCTACAAAGGCAAAGATAACGTTACATTATCATGAGAATAATTCATTAGAAAGACAACCTAGAACACCCTAAAAAAAGTTGTGTTCACCCGTCTGCTTCTCCTGCATCTCCATGTCCTGCTCTGAAGATCCAGGACATTGGTCCCCTCCTTCAGCCTGGCACTGTGTATAACAATCATCCCTCTCCCCAGTCTTCTCCTCTATCCATCTTCTCCTCAGGTTCTCTGCCCAGTACAACACCTCAGTCACCAGGACCCTCCGCAAGATGTTGTTATCATGCAGGCTGGGGTAGTTTATACTGTAAAGCTTATAAAGAAACAAAATAGGTTACAAAATTAGATCATAAAAACATCTTTACTGATGTTGAGAGTCCTAAAAGAGCTTTTAGAGACCTATATGAATTCACCTAACAATAAGCCAGGTGTAGAAATGTCTGATAGAAACGTTCTTATCTTGCCTGCATTGTTTGTAAATCCTGTTGGATTGCTTCAGTCTCAACAAGCCTCAACATGAAGACGAAAAATAATGCTGATTGTAGTTGTAGTTGCTAAAGGTCACCAGCAGAGGCTGACAAACTGTGACTATTTCTATTTAAACCCCTGCCCTAGATAAGCTTTGCTTTTTTAAAATTCAAATTTAGCATTGCTTGTTATGAACACTGGATACATTAAAGCAAACATATGAATTATATCTAAAACACTGAAGAAATGTGTCTTCAGTGTTGATCTCCAGCCCTCCTTCAGGTTTACAGGTTTTGGATTGGGCATATTAATAACCCCATGATGGCTTTAAGTGTAGGAGGTTATATTTCCCAAAGAACAGGAAATGTTATTCAAACAAAAATGTTGTGAAGAAATGGAAATGTTACCGTCAACAGCATATTGATGTTGAAATGAGATCTAAGTAAGAGACATTTAATACATTTATTTTGAAAAAAAGTTTTACAGGGAACAGAACTTTGTGCTTTATATTAAAAATATTTTTTCTACAATTTCTTCACATTGATGAAAACATGTGTGAGTATTCATTAGTGATTTAAGACACATGACATGGGCTACAGATGTTTCTATGAAGATTGTTGTATTGATACATGTTCTATATTTTTCAATTTTGAAGGCTCTTATTGTTTTAAAACATTATTTCATGTTACATTTTCCCAAAACTTAAAGTAGCAAGAAATGTCACAGTTAATCAGTCCCACAGCAATAACAGGTTGAAGACTTAGGCCTGCAGCTAACTCAAAAACGAATCATCTGCAAAGAGGTGTACTCACCAGCGTGTATGAAAACACATCAATGGCATCACCAGCAAACAAAATGTTGCAGCCATCTCTCCCCATGAGCCGGTGAAACACACCAATCTGGGAGCAGAAGCCGACTCTCTCATCGTGACCTGTCGGTGCCTCTCCAACACCAGTGAACTCCACCTCATAGCCATACTTCAAAGACACCTTAAGAGCCCTGAGGAGGAAGGTCACGTTTAAATATTCAGTTCAAACGTTTATTGTACACATTAACATTCCCTGTTGTAAATATCTTTTTCAAAACTCAATTTTTGATTTCCACAAAACTCTAAAAATCCTGAAAATGAATCCTTAATCTAGCATACCAGGACTGGAACTCTGCTCTAGTCCACTCGAACTTGTGGTCAGTGTGCCTGAAACCTTTGAGTCCAGGGAGAAGGGGATTGAACTCAGAGTTTGGGGTGCTGACAATAACAGCAACCGGGGTCATGTAACCAAATACCACCTCAGAGAAGTACTCCACATCAGGAAGAGTGAGGTGCTCTATGCTGCAAAAAATAAATAAAATCACATTGTAGCCATTAAATAGAAAACAAAGACACTGAAACTCAAAAGACAAAAAGCTTACAGCTCTATACTGGTCACTAGATCAAATCCTCTGAGGCGGGAATCACTCTGCGTTACAGATCCCTGGTACAGCTCAATGCACAGCTGATCATAAGTCGGCTGCAGATAGTCAGTTGATATAGGAACTAAGTCATGCCTTTAAGAACAATAAGCAGAGCACAAAATCAGTGTCAGTCATCACAGTATTACACAAGTTTCACAGTTATCAACAACACACACTTGATCTTAGAAACTGTTTATCCATCAACCAAATGAAAGACAGGTCACTGAAGCTTGTTAGCAGGTATACCTCACAAAAACACATGGAAACAATAGCAAATTTTTCACCATTGCAATTAATACCACCGGATTGTTGATGGACGGCCTGCCTCCCCCCACCCCCCTTGCTCCCTATCCCTCTTCCTGCATCTTATCCCATCTCTCCCCCTCTCCCCTTTCCAAGCCCGGTGCAGTCTAGGCCTGTGAAGGCTGTTACATCATGAGCCGGGAATCCAGTCGAAGATCTCTGCCTTTTAATAAGGCAGCTTTTTCTTACCACTGTAACTTTTGCTGCTTTGCTAAAGTGCTCATGATGGATAGACCGGGTCTTTGTAACATAACAATGAGTAAGGTCTTTTTACCTGCTTTTTGTAACATAACAATGAGTAAGGTCTTTTTACCTGCTTTTTGTAACATAACAATGAGTAAGGTCTTTTTACCTGCTTTTTGGAAAGTGTCTCGAGATAACACTTGTTATGAGTTGACACTATACAAATAAAAATTGATTGATTGACTGAATATAAATGGTATGCATCAAAAACACTAACACAAAGAAACACTTTTTTTGCCATGTTGAAAAATTACTGGATTCCTGCAGGACTGAGTACAAAGCATACATAAAATGCAAAAAATAAACAGAAACAAATTGCATGCAATCAGTTATGAAAGACGAAATCAGTGGTTATTAATACTGTATCCAGTCTAATCTAGAGTCCTGCAAGGATAAAATTCTGAGTCATTTCAGCCATGTGTAAAGAGACTAAAGGGGTTTTTTATTTCTTACTAACACCTCTCAGTCTTAGATATACATACATGCGTTTCTTTACTTTGGCACCATCGATGTCCACTCCAACCAGCAGCTCAACTTCACGGTGAAACTTCAGTTTTCTGAGAAGGCTGCACTCACCGCAGCCGAGGTCCACCACCTACCACGAAGAGACGAGACCAATGAAGCCACAGTGTTGAGTACAAGAAGTAATTAAAGAGGAAAAAGTAGAAGAACCAAAACCTTGTTGAAGAATAATAAATATTGTTTAACAAGACCAGCGTGCAGACAGCTAGAATTAGCTCTATCAGTGTGTGGCTTACAGGAACAAGCTGGATAAACAGGAGTCATTTAGCGCGCTTTTTAAGTAGCTCAGATAAACGTCATACTCGTCTCCATTGATTTTTAGTTAACTTACCTTTTTGGATTTGTTTCTTTTCACAAAATCAATTACAAACTGGTGTCTTTGCCTGTGAAGCGGCGGACTGAACATCGGCTCCATCTCGACGTGTTTTTCCGGTTCTGCCCACTATAACTGCTCTGTGTTTGTCTTTGCCCCCCGGGGACAAATAAAGTTTTTTGAATTGAATCGATATTGTCTGTCTGGTTTTGACTGTCCAATCCAATAAAGCAGAAAAGGCACACAAAATATAACTTCAAAAAAAAAACACACATTTCACACAGGTGTATATATTTTTTTTTAATAGATTTTATTTCATTCTTTAAGTTTATTTTAAAGATCTGTCAGGTCTCACAAAATGAGAAGTCACATAGTACATAATAAAGAAAATATACTGCATGGTTTTAAAAACATTACGAGATAAATTATTTCTCTTCTCACTACTTTTTAGCTTAAAAATCATCCAGAGATTCTAATAACCTATCTCAAAAATAAAACCATTTGTTTGATAAATATAATTTTCGAAATACTTTTATAGACAGCTATAATGCCACAAGCTGCTAGAAAACCAGTCACAATAATTAAGATGTGTATGTACTATTGCTAATGAAGATCCATATGCATAAATATCTAAATGTTTTTTCTCAGTTTGATCATAATTTATTTCTGGCATGTACAATAAAACCCAAACAGAGTAATGTGTTCAGAATTCTTTGTTGTTATTACTTCCTTTTTACATTTTTACTTCTAAATATCTCAAAGATTGAACTGGTAACAAAATTTTTATGGGAATAAAATGAAGAAGTGAAACAAAGAAACAGCTTGATGGGATTTCTATTGAGTCCAGTGTCCTGTCTTTAATTTGATCTGTGGTAATTGACTATAAGTAATTCATCAGGTGGAACCAGTTGTTATGCTCACTGGTCTGGTGTAGTTGCTTTGGCTGATGGTGTTTTTGGCACTAAGCCTGACATTATAGGTGGTCCAGGGCTTTAGGTCAGTCTCTGTGTAAAAATCCTCCTCCACGGATCTCACTCTCGGCGGCTGCTGCTCATTCTGTTCCTCCTCGATCACCAGTGTGTACTCTGTGGCATCCTTCACTGTGGACCACTTCACATGCACGGAAACTCCACTTACTGTTACGTTCGGTAATTCTGGGATTTCAAGACCTGAGTGACAGAAAGAGAGAGAGAAGATGGGCGAGAAGGTAACCGTGTTATAGAATAGGTCTATAGATCCACACTTAATCATTATCATTAATGCATTAATCGCAAATGGGATTGAAGTCCAAAATTAATGCATTCATTTCTTTAATCCCATTGATCACGTGGTATTTTGTCTCTTTAAGACAGCAGCGTCCCCTTGTGGCGCACAGCGATGAAAAATAATGAAATCTCTGCTCTCTGAATAACTCATTTCACTTTTAAAAAAAAACTCCTAGATAGCTCAGTTGACAAGTCAAAAGCATTATCCACCGTGTGACATCCAACATTTCCATTTTTACTGTCCTTTTCAACTCTTTCATTTACTTTTTGATCCGTAACAAGATCCTTTTTTCTGTGGTTAAGTTAATGTCTTAACCTTCGGTCTACTTCAAGATGCGTCTTTTGTTTCAAAATAAAAGCAGCTAGCCTCTGCAGCTATATTTGGTATTACAGATAAAGACAACTGCACATTGAGGAGAAGACATAAAGATGTTATTGCTTTCACAACACTGCTTGCACACAGAAGAATACTACTGCATTGGAAGTCATCGAGTCCACTCAAGGCGTCCCTGTGCCTGAGTGACTTATTGCACTTCATACAACTGGAAAAGATTAAATATTCACTGAGAGGGTCTAGGAACAAATTTCACAGCATCTGGGATCCAGTATTATTGTATTTAGCTAAACTTCAAACTTTACTGGATACTACATAGAAGAGAAAATCAAAGAAGTTACTTTATTTTATTATTATTATTATTATTATTTTATTTTTTAACGTATTACAGAGGAGTGGTACCCTGTGTTCCAGGATGGGGTGGGGGGATTATAGTCTTGTTTTACTTTCAGTACTGTTTTATATTGTGTGTTTTTGTGTTTAAAAAAAATAATAATTGTATGCTTTGAGACCTGCTTGTCATTATCGGATGTGAATAGAAAAAAAAAAAAAGCAGCTAGCCTTAGCTTAAGACAGTAGAAAAACACTAATAAAAGCATAAAAAGACTTTAATGAAATGCTAAATAACGAAATTACAAACATGATATTAAAAATGCAATCAGTAGCTATGAGCTATTTAATTTCAGTTTTGATTTGTATTTTTTTTAAATGTCTTTTGACAGCCTTAATAATGAAACATAACACTATCTTGACGCCATGTTATAAAAAGTAAATGGAGTAGAACTTATGAAACACTTTCCTAGTTGTCTGATTACTCAAAGGTCATGTCACATTCACCCATTCACACCACAAACACATGCAGAGCGCCCAACTACCCTAATAGTACTATTCCATTCACAAGCAGGAGCAATCTGGGTGTCTTTTCTAGGACACTTCAACATGTGAGGGGTCAGGGATCTTTCCCCCCCGACCTTTCGGTTGATAGAAGGCCAGCTCTACCACTGAACCACAGCCCGCCCCCCCCCGGCTATTACACTTACCACTGTCTCGATGAGCATAGACTTTAGAAGCCCTCAAATCCCTTCTTCTCCGAAGGCCGCCTGGACCTGAGGAGGTAAACAAATAAAATGTTAAAAATGTCAGAAACTAGATTTCAGAAGAATAATGTAGACTGAAAATCAATGTTTTTGCATATTGGATACTTCAACAAAAAGGTCAAGACTTCATGAATAAAGTCATTGAAAGAGGAAAAACAAGCATTTTGTTCTCTGAAGCCGTTTTCAAATACGCACTCCTGAAAAAATATCTAGACAAATTCAGGAGGACTGCTCCGGATAGTCTCCTGACCTGGCTGTTCACACATGCACCTCACAGCGGGAGACTATCCCTGTCGGGGGGGGGGGGGGGGGGGGGGGTCAACAGAGTCCACTATACGATGATATAATGAGAATACTTGCCTTTTCACACTATCCATAAAAGAGCGGAGAACATACTTGAGTACAGAAAACATAATGTTGCTTATTAATAATGTGTACGGAGACCATAGCGGTCGTGTGTATACCATAGACTGTAAATATGAATGGATGAAGCCTGAGTGACGTCACCTATCTGTTCCTGCAGGGGGCTCTGGAGGCTCATCGGCAGCCGCCACCATGAAGGAAATGCTGTCTCAGTTTAACTTTAAGTCAATCTAGCGACAGGCTGAGAGCCGAAGCTGAGGCGGGTTTTTAGCCTCTTGACAAACCATTACACCGCGCCCACCTGTCAATCATGTCAGTAACGCGCCTAACTATGGATAACACGGAGATGTTTTTAAAAATCCCCCCCCCGTACAGTGTGTGCCAGTGATGACAATAACTAATCAGACCTATTTTGTTTTTTGTTCCAGGCTGTAAAACATATTTATTTATGCTTTAAAAACTGCTTTTTTGCCTGTTGTGTGTCTGTGACTTCCGGCGTTCCTGGAGCCTCAAGCGGACACTAAACGAACTGCAGGAATTTGCACTTCTGGACCGGAGGTTGCAGCTTGGTGTGTACACTACATGCACCGTGCAGCAGTCACAGTATAAAAACCCAAACTCAAATCCCACAAAAAAAAAAAAAAAATTGCAAAGAAAGAAAGGATATTCTTTGAGATTTCAAAGTCATACATTTGTGAGAAAAACAGTGGGTTTTTTTTCGTAATAGCGACATGATAAAAAGAGCAACATGAGGTTTTCGTATGAATCCTGTGCAGTGGTGACTGTGACTGACCTCTAATATCTGGGCTACCGATGCTCTCTCCTTCCTCATTGATGGCTTTCACTGTAGTGTTGGCCGGATCAAAGTTGGTGACCTGGCATGAGAGATCAGTTGTGTTGCAGAGCTCAATACGGACGGCTCCTGACACATCGTAGACAGTGTAGCTTGTTGCAAACACTGATGAATCCCAGGAGAGCACAGCAGACTGTGTGCTACCAGTGTACATCACATTCTGTGGAGCACAGGGGACTGCAAAAGAAAAGGAGGAAACGCTGTTAACAGAACAATGGAAGGATTTTTATCTGCGCTTTTTGAGTGAAAAACACACTGTAATGTATCTGTAAGCAGAATTTTTTTTTTTTAATTCATGTAAAAGCACCTTTCCACATCTAAAACATTCTTTATTATAAATTCTGTGTTTTACAATATTGTCTTTCATTTTCAGCCTTCACGTAAGTACACCTGCCAGAGGAGTTATTCTTGTTGACACAGGAAAAAACAAACTTATATGGTGTGGTTTTAAATAATAAAACATTAATATAACATAACATTATTCTCTTATTGGGTTCAAATACACTTAAACCCAAAAAGAGTAAAGTAAGTAAAGAAGAAAAATATGAACTGGGGACTGAAAACGCATACTGTAGTTTTCAGTAAAGTCAGGGATAAGTGCAGTTACCTGTGACTCCAGTAAAAGCACTGGACGGCTCGCTGACCCCGCCTGAGTTCCTGGAGCGTACTGTGAGGTTATACGCTGTGCTACAAGGCATCGGGAACTCAAAGTATGGCCGGGGCAGCCAGTAAGACGTCACATTCATCAAGGCCTGTGGGTCATCTTGGATTCGACCGATTATCTTCACAAGGTACTCAACATCTGGACAATCCACCTCCGCCCATGATGTCATGGCCCAGTGCATCTGACCGATCCTCTGCATTCTGACACTCAGAGAAGTTGGAGCGCATGGAGCTGAGGGGGAAGGACACTTAAGAGTCAGACGGCTGCAGCTAACTTCCCGTTGTCCTTCTTGGTAGAAAATTTTGGTTAAATAATATCTTTTATCTGTTCCCTTATATTCTTCTTATTTATGTTAATATTTGTCCGGGCTGAATTAATAATAATGTATACTTTATTGATCCCATTTTTTACACTCTGTCTAGTTAACATGCTACACAAACATTGGCTGAAATACACACACATGCACAAACAGGATCCTATGGACATGCACTAATGGAGAGGTTTCAGAGTGAGGGGGCTGACCACAGTCAGTGCTCCTGAGCTGGTGGGGGGTTAGGTGCCTTGCTCAAGGGCACCTTGGCAGTGCTGAGGAAGTGGACTGGCACCTCTCCAGCTACCAGGCCAATTTCTGGACTTGGTCCATGCCAGGACTTGAACCAGCGACCCTCCAATTCCCAACCGAAGTCCCTACAGACTGAGCCACTGCCGCCCCATCATTGTAAAATACGTAAACAAAGAGTTGAATATTTCAGCAGTGATGTTACTGTACCTGCTCCCTCCTGTAGCGGTGCACTAAACGAGCTGTTGCAGATGCCATCAGAGGCTTCGACAGAGAAGTTGTAAACTTCTCCACACCGCAGGCCTTCGATGGTGCAGCGGGGAACGTCGCTTTCACAGTAGAGCATGTCTCCGTCCGTAGTTTGGGCGCAGCCCAAATACTCCACGGCGCCCTCGCTGGCATTCCAAGACAGGATGGCCGAGTTTGTCTCACAATCCAGATCCACTGAAAGACCGGAGGGCTCACAGGGCACTGCAGGGAGAGAGGAGATTTTGTAAATCAGTGACTGAAGAATGAAGCTGGCCTGAGGTTTCAAAATGTTTTGTTATAATTCTAACAAATATTTCCTGTTACGTTAAAAAAAAAAGAACACAGACTCAGGAAAGAGGCTGTCCACATTAAAGAGGACATATTATCCCTCTTCTTCACCTTTTCAAACAGTCCCCCTGTGGTCTAAATGAAACATCTGAGCTGTGCTTTGGTCAAAATATAACATGAATCAAGCACCAGAGGAGGTTTGTGACCCTGTATAAACCAGCTCTCTCAGAACGCTCCGTTTTGGTGTGTGTCTCTTTAAATGCAAATCATGCTTTTTATAACATTATGTATTTGATTAAGTCAGTGTAAATGTAAAAATCAAACTGTAGAAAGAAGCATCTGATGTAGATAGTTCCTGTTTAAATTATTAACACATGAAAATGTATTTCTAAAGAGAAATAACAAACTGATTTTTATTTCATTATAGAATCATTTTTGAAAAAGATTTGGCAGCATTTCGTATCATGATTGATGATGTCAGCATTATTATTATTATTATTATTATTATTAGGTTTACCGGTAAATGTTTTGTCAATTAATCAATTAACGGCATTGTCTATAAGATGTAAAGACAAAAAGCCTTTCTCTAGTGTTCGTTTGCACTTACTCACTTTGTTTCCTCCTCTTCTAGATCCCTGCTTGTGTTGTACTTACTCTCTTTGTCACAGAATTGTTGCCCATTTATTCCCATTAATTTAAAAACAACAGTGTGAAAGAAGATTCTCATGATCGAGATGCCCTTTATGTGTCTACCTGTATTGAAGGTTGAAGTGTGAGGGAGGCTGCTGCAGTTGTCTCCTTTGGCTGTGACATTTAATGCATACGCCTGTCCGCAGTGCAGATGAGTCAGTGTGCAGTTATTCACTGAGGTGATGCAGCTGGCAACATGTCCGTCGCTTCCTGTTGCCGACAGCATGTAGGATTTAGCCACAGGGGAGTGTCTCCAGGTCACCGTGGCGCCGTGCTCCTCACATGTTGGTACCACTGTCACATTGCTTGGGACACAGGGCGCTAAAGAGGACAGGAAAAGATTAAGTAGTTCTACAATTGTTCATTAAAAATGTCGATCATATCCCAAATCTGCATCGTTATAGTTCTTCAAAAGTGACCAGACAGAGCGAGCTGAACGATACCTGTTTTAATCTTCTTCGTCGGGCTTCTGAGGCTGCTGCACTTATCAGAGGAAGTGGACACGATGACGCTGTACTGCATGCCACATTTTGCATCCTGGAGTTCACATGAATGAGAAGAGCTGTTGCAGGAGATGTAGGACTGGTCGTGGCCCTCAGCGGTCACCACAAAGACCGGCGTGTCCTCTGTCATGTCCCATTCAACCAGGATGGTGTCGCTGTTGCACTGTGTCACTGCGCTGATGGACGTGAGAGCACATGGACCTGCAGGACAAAACACACATGGCTGAACAAAGTTTCAAGTCCAGTACCTGAATCTTTCAGGAAGGCTGAAGCAATCACATCAGACACTTTCAGCCTTTCAATACCCATAATACGTCTCCCCTTTACAGTTTAGAAGTTTAGAAATGTCCTAAATCTCAGTCCGCTCTCAGATCTGTGTGGTTCTTATTATTGATCTGTACAATATATTTCAAAATGGAAGCACCAGAGGGCTTCAGTCGTTTGAAAATTCACAATAGGCTTACATTATACATTTGTCATTCATTTATATCAGTAACAATCATAGCACCAGTACTTTGATTGATACACTTTTATTTCATCATGTTACTTTTATAGTTGGATGTTAAAGGTACTTTTACTATCATGTTTCTGTGTTGGGTTTTTAATTGGTCTGTCTTATCTGAGCTGCTTCTGCTAAACTGCCATGTCATTTTTACAGCAATGAAAAGTCTATTCCACGCTGTTGCTAAAAGATTATTATCAGAGTATAATACCCTTATATTAAGATGAATCATAAAGGGTTATTAATATGACTACAGGGTGGGAAACTCAAACTCTTTAAGAACCTCCTAAGCGTCATCATATTATTATCCAATTGGACAAGAAGATAAAAACTTTCATTTGTTTTTGCAGGTTATTTTTCCGTTTTACTCAAATGTTTGCCTCGTTTATGAACTAGGTTAAACCTATGAGCTCTACTAATGTAACTCCAAGAGAAAGCCTACAATTCATTTTTTTAAAAAGCTCTAAGAAGAAATACTAAAAAAAGAGTTTCATCTGTCAGTCTGACGATGTCTCGGACTTCTGTTTGGGTGATGGACTCCATTTTTTTGTAACCAATCACAAGACAGAAACAGCCATCATGCTTGACTTTAAAATCATTCTTAAGTTGAAGCTCATGCCTAACTTTGCCAACACTCTGGCTGGTGGTTTAAAATTGGAATGAAGCTAATTGAAAACAAACTACTAAATGAATAGGGCTCCTATTCTTATCTATAGGAGTTGCCATTGTTATACCTAATCATTGTCAGTCAGCTCGTTTGAGTGGACGGATTCCAAGGTTTGGACTTGGGTAAAAAAAAAAAAAAAAGAGAGACTAGAGACCCATTAATCAAGCCATAGATTAAAAGAGTAAAAGTTTTGAGCCAGACAGGATTTAGAGTTGCATAAAAAAGCTTAATACCTTTTAAATCTTGCTCTTTGTAACCTTGCAAAGACAACAAGTATTCATAACTGTTACATTGAGAGTACAGATTTCTGTTACCTGTCTGAAGCTCAAAGGTGGTGCTGTTACTACTGTTACAGTGTCTGTTGACAGCAGTGACGTAAAAGGTGTAAAGCGTCCCACAGTTCAGATCTGGCACCTCACAGGGAGAGGAGGCGGAGGTGCAGTTGGAGGTGTGACCTCCCACCCCGTTGGCCACAACGGAGTAGCTGTGGGCACCTTGTGAGGGGTCCCATGTGACCCAGGCAGAGTTTGACACGCAGTCCAGACTGCCCTTAACGTTTGTGGGCACGCATGGAGCTGTGGAGGGGGAAATGGAAAAGATAAGCTTGTAGAATGAGTACTGTAGAAATCAATATGAGTCATGACATGTTTGAGATATTTTACTAGACTAATTATTGTTTTTTTCAATTGTCATGTTTTGACTGCCTAAACAACATATCATTTAAGTTGTTTTCTGTATATGGAAGGCAGATAAATATCGGGATGGATTTCATCATCCTGCTTTAACAGCAGCAGCTCGCAGACTTTTTTAAATTATACTTAAAAACGTTCTTTTAAAGCCAAGAGTGTGTTAGTTTTGATTTTTCACCGTCCGAAAAAGATACAGTACATCTTCTGTGAGCGACAGCAATCTTTTCTCTGGCTTCCAATGCAGCCAGCAGTTAGCGATTAGAGACATTAGCCCAAGACTTTCCGTGCATTTCCTTCGTTTACAGTCTGACTAGATGCATGAAGAGGGGAAATGGAGTGGGAGTTGAAAACAAAGTCACAGATTGGATTGTTTTCTGAACTTGCACTGCATAATGATGTTTAAAGCAATATGCTGAATGCCAACGTTCTCTCAACGTGTATGATTTGTCTGTGTACAGCCAAAGCCTGTTGAAAGCGGAGGGGACGATACTCCACTACAAATGGAAACCAGAACACCTCTGATACCAAAATGTGGTCTCGCATCTCCATCTGTTCAATAAAGATGATGCCCCTTTTTACTGATGTCATTTTGCACAATTATTCATTTTATATCCTATGACTTGCAAGATTTGCAGACACTGTAGTTCCTTAATCACACGTAGCCGGGGTTCTAAGGTTGTTGCACTCTAAAGTCTACGTTATACTGAATCCTACACACTGGTCCGTTAGGTTTTTTTTTAAACGGGTGATCATTTGTAAGTTACCTGAGGAGGTCTCCACCACAGCGCTCGTCTCACTCTCACAGTCGTCTCTCACAGACAGCACAGTGACGTTGTAAGTCCGTCCACATGGCAGGTTGTTTATACTGCAGGCAGTGCTGCTGGAGTTACAGTAGAGTCTTGCTCCTATGTTGCTCACTGCGGCTACATGAAAGTACTGAGCGTCGGGGTTGGGCATCCAGGACACAGATATGGCACCATCAGCACAGTTTGCATCTACAGCCACATCCTGTGGTGCACAAGGGGCTGCAGGGGAAGAGGCAGAGGGGAAAGGAAGAGGCTTGTTAATATCAATGTTATGAGTTTGATTCTAATGTGAACTTGAAAAAAACACTTTATGAAGCAGTAGCTTCAGCCATCATGATAACAAAGAATGAATTGACATTACTACTTAGGGTTCATATTTGACTGTGCATGTTTACAATACCTGTCTGCATGTAAGCCGTGTCACTCTCCACGCTGGAACAGTACTCGTCCTGGCCGTACACGCTCACATTGTAGGTCTGTCCACACTGCAGGCCGCTAAGATCGCAGAAGGTCATGGAGTTGTTACATTTGGTTTGGTGGCTTCCGTCAGCGGTGACGCCCACGACAAGATATGAGACGGCTCCGCTGGCTCGCTCCCATGTCACCGCAGCAGAGTTGGATTGGCAGAGTAGGGCAGCCTTCACATTGGTTGGCTTGCAAGGGACTGAGAGAGACAGAGGAAAAAAGAGGACAAAGAAAAATGTCACCGACTGACTCGCTGCAAGCAAAGAACAAGTTCTAGAGCCTAAAAAGAAAACTGCCAAGGTAAGACCATGAGGTAACTTTGTTTTTAAATCAAAAATGTAAACGCTGCACCCCCACACAAGTGGGTTTGTAATTAAGTAAGAATATGGAAGTAAATGCAGTAATGAATAGTTGTTTAAAAAGAAAAAAATGCAGTAAAATTCCAACCCTAGAGGTCTGAAGTATTTAATTTCCATTTTTTCATTTCAATGGGCTGAAAGAAAAAACACAACTAGCAAGCAGAGAGGAAAAATAATGATAGGATACTCCTTTCATTATGATTTTCTGTAGAGAGAAATGAAAGAGTGGACCTTTCAGAGGTTTCACTTTTTAGTCAGACAACATTCATGATGCAAGGAAAACACGTTTAATCATTTTGTTTACATCATAGCTTTAAAAATAATAATTGTCGTCAACATCAAACAAGTCTCAACTGATGAGTCAAAACTTTCAGAAACATTTGACTTATGATGTTGGGGGGGTTGTTCATATGGACTCTTCTTGTGAACACTGTCAACATGACCACCAACCTCCCTGTGAGCGTTCCGGCTATACCTCAGTGTAGAGGCCATTTTAAGCATGCTAACTTTAGTTTTAGAAGTATGGTTTAATTTTGTGTTAATAGAGTATATTTTTGTGTTGTTAGAAATAAGTATTAATTTATGAGAAGTACTTGATTTGACATGGAAACGTTTATGGTGAATAATGGATTTATTTGGGCAGGTGTTTTGTGTTATGGGTGGAGCCGAGTTAATGAATTTGGGTGGCGAGAAAAAATGAGATCGTCTTTGTTTGTGGACTGTGGTGGAGGTACAGGAGCCACGCAGCAAATGTTTTTTGATCGTGACCTTTTGTTATGAGTTTTTTACCAAATTCAGTTTTGGATCTGTTCTGGAAACTGTTTACGAATAAAATAAGAAATCAAGTGAAACAACGGATCTGTGAGTATATTTAAGTGGACACGCATCAGGAACGAACAGGTTAGCTCCTATGACACAAGTGACAATTTTTATATGACACACAAGAAGAAATTGCCACTACACTTAGTGTTTTGTAAGCTTTTTATTCTGACTTCTTACATTGTATTTGACTAAGCCTTTCCTTTTTTCTTTTTTAACCTGACTTTGAATGTTTCTCCTGTCTTGCGTTTGGTTCTGTTTTCATGGTTCAGTGACAACAAAAAATAAATCAATTTACAACTGAACTGTTTTTTTTGTAACTAATTCCATAAAAGTGCCTTTAAGTTTATCCACCTTAATGGATCCTAAAAATAAATGAAATACATCTGCTGCAGTATAACCACTTTGAAAACAAAATTGGCACTCACTTGTGAACTTTTTCCTTCACAGTAACCTGACTGCCCTTACCTGACTGCAGGTTGAGGTAAGCATTGCTGTTGTCACACTGTCGTCCTCAGCTGTCACTGTCAGGTTGTAGAGCTGGCCACAGTGCATGTTGTGCACCGGCAGTGGGTGTGAGTGCTGTTAC